GTAAAAATGGTTTAAAAATGTTTTGTATGTTAGTCGAGGAAATTTGAGGGCCACTTCATTTTGGCCTGGGCCACTAAGAGTTCAGCGATACTGGCCCGAGTGGCGACCAAGCACTGAAGTTAATTTTTAGCCCTGTAAATTGATGTTTAGGCGGCCTCAGAATGAAAGATGAAGGTGTTCAGAGTCCTCAAACCTTTCTGGTGAAGAATTTTTCCTTCCTTGAACTGCCATGAAAACATGACGATCGGTGCGCGTTCAAGTGAGTTTTGAATACAGATCGTAGATTTAAAGCAGCTTCCTGGGTTTAAGAAAACAAAAATGGTAATGTACAGTATTGCTTCGAAGTTGAGTTTAATTTTTAGAACAATTGGTAAAGCCATGGCCGATAAAATAACTGCAAAACTCATCGGCAAAATCTCAAGCTTTTGCTTTAGCGTGAAGAATTAATTTGAACATGTGGTCATGCAGCAAAGCATGTCTGCGAAATTTTGAACATTGTTATGCCTTAAGTTAAGATTTTTTGCCTCATCTTGAATGAAAATTTATTGTTATTTAGCTTCCTGTCACGTTTCTTTCATTTGGTTGCCTTTATTTGTGAATTTTAGGCTTTAAAAGTGAACAGTATTTTTGCACACTGGATTCCTGCATATTTAATTTGTGACGACCCCCGTGGTTTGTTTGTTTAGTTTATTCGCTTCGTTCAAATATGTTTTTTCGAGTCTTATTCAGCTACTACAGAACTCCTAGAAAAGAACTAAGTGGGGGCTAAATTAACACATTTGAAATACAATTTATCTCAAAATAATTGGCTTGTTTTTGTTGCCTTTTTGATGTACAACTTTCAGCTTTCTTTCGCTACGCTGTATTATTTTGTCATGCCGCGAAGAAATTATCTGATTTCTTGTTTTTAAATTGGTTTTTACATGTGTCTTTCGCCGTTATTTTCCAGTGTTTTATCAAATGTTATCCGTTATAGTAAAAGAGTAGAAATCCTGTTGTATTCGGTTTCGTTTTGTCCTCTAAGTGAAAAATAAACTCATTTTTGCATAATCAATTTTCTCTGCTTTTGTTGCGTGGCAAAGAAAAAAATATAATTTCTTGTTTATTATCAGTTTTACAGATCAAGTTGAGTTTTTTTTGTTGATATTTTTTAATATTTTGACCCGTCATTTATTCAACTTTAAGTAAACGATGTCTCAAAACCTGATCTTGTGTCTGTGGTTACTGCGGATATGGTTTATTTTTGTGCTTTCGCCGGCTCTGAAATATTTCACAAAAACACCAGGGAATTAGGGGTGGGTCACGGGAAATTTCATGCAGGAGTCAATGGGTTAAATAGTAATTAGACTGAGTGGAGTAGAATTCAGGGAGTAATCATGTGTGTAATTTCAAAATCAGATAAGCTCAAAGGGCAAGGTGGATTTAAAATTATGGGCACGAGTACTGTATGAATTGTATGGTCTGAGTTCTCAAGTCTTGAGAACTTCATTTGAGCGAAAAAGCCAGGAGCACTTTTCATAAGTTTTAAAAACTATAGGAAACATCATGAAGTAAGCCATTAAAGTGCGCGTAATTGATGTGCGAATGAGGTAAGTGTCCAATTGCAGTTATCCAGTCAAAAAGTTGTAATTGGATACCTGTAATTGGATGACTACACGATCGCGCACCCATTACATGTAGTAACAGTTTTTACAGGGTAGCGGTGCTAACCCAATTTCTAACATTCCAACTTTTTCAGCTGGGCTTAGGACTGTCCATGGCAGAGTTCAAGAAGAGAGGTTCATTGCCAAGATCATTTTAGTTTTCATATTGAAAGAGCTGGGTATTAATCAAGTCCATTGTGGTGAAAGGATTAGAGTGAGTTCTAGTGACATCTAAGTTCCTGTCAGTTACATGAATGATCACTTCATAATGAGTGGTCTTGTTTTGTTTGTGCTTTGATGTTTAGAGTTTTCATTTGTCTTGAAATCTGAACTCTTTGGTGTTTGAATGATTTTATCATTAAGATTCCTTTCATCCTGTTGCTTAGAATACATTGGAACCCCTTCTGACCTTGATGAGTAACACTTCACAACAAAGAGTGCCTTTGTATTCTCCATGTAACATGTAGAGAACTAGGTCAATAAAAAGCTGACTGTTTTGTTGTTACTTTTACAACTGGAACAGCACATTATATTTCTTTACCTGCTTGTTAGCTGTTTGCCTTGGTGACTTCTATACAGTGGCAATTCAAGGCAGCATAGTCTGTTGCCCCTGCTTCATGGTGAAAAATGGGCATGTGCTCGCAAATGTGATACATGTACGTTTGAATGACAGGAGAATGCTGGCCACAAGTTGCTCTTGTTTTGAAGTTTAAAAGGTGTACGTACAATAGCTGCACTGTTTAGTTTTACACCTGTTTATTCCTATTCTCACAAAGATCAGATCATGATCATATTGGGGAAACAAAACTGCATTTTAATATTAAACTTTGGAATTAAAAAAGTACTTGGCGCAAATGCTTTAAGTAGCTGGCGACTTGGATTGAGCACTGGCTTATTTTGAAAACTGTGCGAATCATTCCCAAAACAATTTAACAAAACACCATTTTTGATTTTTCTTCGTCGTGTTTCATTAATTGTTACGTATGAAAAAGGCTGATAAATTAGTAAGTCAGTGATTTGGGATGAATAGGCTGCCCAGTATGAAGATTCTCTGTTGCATTTGATTTGAGGTCAAAGTTCAAGGTATTTAGCATTGAATAGAGTCAGTGGTTGTTGATGAAAGTTGTTGAGGAGGTGGTAACATGATTTACTCGCTGAATGATTTGCTTTAGTGGATGTGTTTCCCTTTGTGCAGAGAGTCAATGGTGTCTTAAGTAAACTTTAAGTCGATAAATTGTATTAATGTTAGTGATTTATCCATTCTATTATGTCTCTAATTTGTATAGACATTTGGTATGCAACTTTTACTGTACTGCTTTTCTACACGAATTTATTGATTTAGCCCAGTGTTTTCAAAACAAGCGGGCAACTACCGGATATCCGCCGCCTACTTGATTATATATCGCTGGTTATTCTGGTTATAGCAATCAGCTTGTGACAAACAAGCTTAGCATTGCATCTTATCAATCAATCTTTAAGGTGGCCAAACACGCGCTGTGCTTTTTTTCTCTATAACTGAACGCGGTGTATTGATGGCTTTAGTCTTTTATCACAAAGATATGTTACCAAAGGAAACGATGCAAAGAACCCAGCAATTCTCAGCTTTTTCTTTGTTACTGAAAGAACCCAGTTAAATGCAGTGCATACGTAGTGCAATTGAATGAAAAATTGTACTCGGAAATACGCCTATTTCTCGAAAACCACTCATTAGAATTTCACGAAATTTGGCAGGAAAATACTTTAGGAAATAAGTAACTGGAGTATTGAAAATAATTGAACTTTAACAAAGGAAATTCTAGATATTCCAGTGAACCTTCAACAAYGGATAATTAAAGATCTCTCTGTTAAATTATTAGCAAAYTGGTGTTAACTTGTGAGAATCGTTACAAGTTTGTTGCATGCAAATTATAAAGAAAATCTAATGACTAGATTTTCTACAAATAAACAAAACCGATTTTAAAAGTCTTTTTAGTTTTATTCATGTTGCCATGGCAATGGCACCCACATCAGCTTAACCATCAAAAAACNATAATTTAAGAGATTTATGATATTTTGATGATGGGGGATGATGAATGGTGTATGATTTTAATATTTTTTAGAGGTGAAATTCGTACCTTAATGAAAGAGAGACAAGACGGCCAGTATCAATCGAAGAAAAGTATATTTCAACGTACGCACTCTTTCTTTACATAAGAATATTGTTTTCCAGCCCAGGCTGAATATTGTTATTTTTTCTGCAGATTTTAGGCTGAATATATTCTTGTGAATATTCCTAGATTAAAGCCGGATATGACACACATTGTTCTTGCCCTTTTGCAGAAATGTTATTATGACCAAACATACGGTTAGTGTTGTTTTTTGGCTAGTTTTGTTGTTTAGAGAAGAATTACAGAAACTTCTCTAAAGAACTAAATAGCATCGTTCCAAAGTTTCTAAAATTCGAATAATACATGAGAAATGGAACATTCCAGAAGGTTTTAGGTCGCGGATGAATGACTTCTGGTTTTTAGATTTTAAATAACAACAAGCCGTAAAAGTTCTCAAATTTCAGCCTCGATATTCCTTGTAAAAAGTGAGTGTAAGTATTTAATACGTTGCGGCATTACTTCGGAAAGTCAATGCGTCGGAATATCGATTCGTTTACCCCTTAGAGAGTGACAAATTTGCATATTCTGAGACCTGACGAGGGCCTTTTCTACGCTTCGCGTAGCCACGACTAAAGACTAAAATCGTTGTGTTTAACGGTTTTTCTAAAAACTGAGCTTTGGCTCCCAGGCTATAGTCTTTGACGAGTAATATTAATTAGAAACGTGCGAATGAATGAATATTTCAACACAGCCAAGTGTGAAAAAATAACCTAAACGAAATACAAATGTGCAACATGAAGTCTTATTCCCAATGCACGATCAATCGAGCGAAAACCTGCTGGTTTATTTCTCGAATAGCTAACAATTTATTCATCTTACCTTAAGTGATGAAACCTTTCTTCTTCTTCTTCAGCCAAGTCGGCAACACAGATGAAGAGTTAACCGGTAAACGAAAGTATTAGAGACTTAACAAGTCCCGTGTGTTGAGTGCGGCTTTGTCTTGATGCCCAAACTAACTTTATCTATGAGGTCATAAAAGGGAAGTATATCCAAAACCCCCGGCACGGTTTTACAAATGGGCATAAACTCGTAAAGCTTCAATGGTTTACAGGCGTCTGAGTCTTTTTGCTAAATTAAAACTTTCCATGTTCAAGCGAAATTCACGTAAATCGAAAGTGCGTAGTAAACAGTTTCTTGGAAGTAACCTTATTGGCTATCCCGTAGACGCATGCGCCTCCTCTCCCCCCATCATAGCCAACCGGCTACTTGACTTGCAAATTTCAGATGTTTCTTGCTTTTCTCTTTAATACAAGAAAATAGTGAAAACGCTGGGTTTTTTGGAATTCTAGAAGACTGCCTTAGTCTGGCATTTCTCAGTTAAATTATACGATATATTGCACGTGTTCAATTTGCAAAGTGAACAGAGTAGGAAGCGTGTCATAACCTGATCTTATAATGTTATGCAATGTTTCAGCCTCTATTTCCTGGTAACTTGCTCGTGCTTTCTAGGAATCAAGACTGCTACTTCCTACTCGTTCCATTCATCCCAAGAATCAGTAGCTCCAACATAATATCCAAACAGCAGTAACAACAAGCCAAAGGACAGAGAGCAGTATTGGAGAAAGGTGTGAGAAGAACGATTACGGTTTGATTTTCGTTTTAAGATTTCCAGTCTTTCTAATCTATTTTTATACGGGGATCCCCCACATTTCAGTTTCAGTTCAGAACTAAAAATATCCAAATAAGGTGGCAGAATCTAGTGCACTGTCCTGAAGGCACACAGTTAAGTGCATTCGTGGCAGTTTTCTGCCTGTTATTAACCCAAAGCTAGCTGTTTCCCTCGTCTAATTAGAGAGGAAGATATACATAAAAGACAACGACGAGAGCCCTCAGGTCCCTCAGGTAAATATCATTGCCAATATTACAACCCTATATTCCTTAGGCCCGGTTTAAACGTCGCATTCTACATCCGCCGAATCTAATACTAATTTTAGTCGACTCGAATGAATAAGTTCGGCTGATTTGATTTAAACGTCGCATTTTTTTTGCCGAATAAAATTGCTGAGCGCAAGCGATAGCGACGTGTTAATTTCCATTCGAGCAAACATAATTTATTTAACATAATTTATTTAACATAATTTATGAATTAGATTCGGCACATGTAAAATGCGGCGTTTAAATCAACTGTCGAACTTCAGTCGTGTATTCGACTGAACTCGCATTTAATTGAAATATGTCGCAGTTAATTGATTTAAACGTCGCATTTTACATGCACTTAATTCGTCAATTCGATTCGACCACGTAAAATGCGACTTTTAAACCGGGCCTTAGAAGTCGGAGATACGTAATGTACGACGCCATCTTCCTTGTGTCGGAATTGGAGTCGTTTTGGCGAACTTAAAAGTCAGTGACCGTTTCCATCAGTGCCTACTTTTATTGTTCATTGATCACTTTGAATTCTTCGGGTTGACTTTCTATTTGACTACGAAGGCATTTCGCTTCACTGGAATTTTGGAATTGTGCACCATTAGCGATATTTCAGCACTTCATTTTGGGTATGCAGGAAATGGTAATGGAAATAATACTTTTTACCGACAAATCGCTGACTCTTTGAGACCTATTGACCGAACAGATCAGGCACTGCATTAAAATGTATTAGAACGCTTCTGGCTCCACATTGATCGTCCGACATAGATTATCGGTTTCCGCCACCTCTCTAGAACTTTTATTTGGAAGTTTGAATTCTTGCCGATTGAACTAATTGTAGACGTCATGCAGATAGACGTAAATTGGCAGAAGAGAGAAAGACTTATAAGTGGGAGAATGAGCTTCCTGTAACCAGGTTGGAGTGTTGTAAACGGGATTCCGATGTTATCTGTCGTAATTGCCAGATGGCAGACAATCTCGCAGAGTATCGTGAATGCGCCCTCTGCTCACCCCTACCTTAAATTTTTCATCTCTGAAAAGCTCTCGCTTAGACAATTCCTTAATCCCCAGTCCCCGATTCGATTTCGTCCGGGCTAGCTGAAGTAAGTTTTTTAGAATTACAATATTCTTGAGTGAATGGGCATTGCTGAACCTTTTCTTAAATTCGAAATTTTACAAGAAGTTCCTCGAAGAATATGCACAGTTCTTGTCGCAATCTTTATCGATCTGATTTAGGTTGACTTCACTACAATCGTTTTGGAACAGGATGAGAGGTTGTTTCACTTTCCTGAAGCCCTCATTAAAACAGCAGTCCATAACAATCTGAACAATCTTCTTAGCTTCCAACGCGGAACTGTCAATCAATGTGTTTGAATGCTTTTTTTGATGAGCAGGTTTTGACCTAATCATTGCCGACAGATAATTTCCTCAATTTGATTGGCTGCGGTATAATTGCTATGCCAACATTGACGTCATTTAAATTATATTTAGCTTCGGAGTGATGGTCATGGCTTTGGGTCAAAGCAATGGAGTCAGTGGTCTATTGTTTTGACGATCATTCGCGAATGACAGTCGAAAGGATCGGTGAACGCAACATGTAACACTAAATTATTGTTCTGAGAAAAAGATCTTCAAGATAGGTTAGGGTAAAATTTCAGGACAAATATGAAAGGAAATTTAGAGCTTTCGTTTTGGAACTGACCCGTATCAGGTATCAAGTTCAGAACTCAAGCAAATTCTAAACGCTTTTAGAACAATCAATGTCAATAAGTGCATATTTGTTAGGATTAACAAGATGTAAACGAAAGTCCTCTACTAAGCACCCTAAAACGCAATAAACTTTAACTAGCATTTCTTCGAGAGATGAGAAAAACAAATGAGCGATTCTTTAGAAGATGGTCAAGTCAAGATGAAGAGTCTGCCAATGGGGGTTTTACCTCTACTTAAATAAACGGCACGCAATGCATGCTGGTTCTTACATAAATACATGCGGGGTTACACTGTGACATAAATCCGGAGGGATGATCAACAGCCTTGGTCATCACTGATCATCACTGTCATAACTAATGAAGCACATATCGCATCATGCATGCATGGTTGTTACTGCCTATTGTTGAATACTTGTAAATGCACTGATAACTATGTGAAGTCAGGCGAATACATTATTATTAACCATTTCAGTGTTCTGCAAACAGAATAGAAGGAGGGGTAAGTTAAAAATCAGATCAAAAAATTATGTATAATTATTTTCAATCAATAATTAGAAAATCATTATTTCCAAAATAATGAGCCCATTTAAATGGGTTTAAATATATCACATCACCTCATTAAATCACTTATAATTTACGACTTCTCAGAGTTTTGAAGGTATTGCATCATTTCATCTTTTTTATTTACAAAAATTCCAACAGCATAGCTGTTCAATTTTCAGTATGATAAGTATGGATATCTCATGAATGGGAATGACCTTTGTTTCAGAAGTACAAAGCCCCGGATTTATTTCCATATTATTTGCAAGACAAGTCACTAAAGCGGCGTGTAAAATCACTTTGAAACTCAATGTTGGAGGACTGATTTATTGCTACCCAGTAAATAAAAACGTAAAACAACAAAAGAACAGTACTTTTCGTTATGCCTTATCAAATGCAATGTACGGTCGAGAAGGACAAAAATTTCAGACAGTTCACCTTTTCAATCCTTTTAAGAAACTGCTGTCCGCTGCCTTCTGGTATGTCCGATCTCAACAGTAACGATACTCTCAATACCTATCACAAGCTGTACAATGAGTTTCGACGTGTTTGTGAGCTCAAATTTATCCGACAACGGATAAAATACTACAATCACTCTAGTCCCGATACCTGCGTTTAACAACTGGAAATCTAACCAACACTTTGTCGATGCTACAAGCCGCCGAAAAGCGATTTCTCTCGATCATGGCGGTTTCCAAGGAAACGGGTTTAGTTCCCAGTTCTCCTCGCCTCGATCCAGGATAAATCATGCGCGACATGAGCGCGACATAAGCGCGACATCATTTATCCAAAGGGATGCTGGATGCCAACTTAAAATGGAGAGTTGGTACAAAATCCTCCCTTGTAAAAAGAGATTTTTTTGCATTTTTACGTTATTTTTTTTTTAATTCGGACAGTTTTAAAACTGAGGATAGTAAATCGACATTTTAACCACAATTGCTAGTAATATCGCAATCTGATTGGCTAATTTGCCGTTGTCGATAACAGTCCAGACAACGCTGTTCGCGTTAATGTGTCACGCAATGCCTTTTTCAGTTTGCGCTCTGAAAAAAAATTTTTTCTGTGTTTCTATCGTGTGTTAGTATAAATCTACTAGCGTTGTATCACGAATNAACAAGCCACTGAAATGTCCATCCGATGACAAACTTTACGTCAAGCACGTCTTTCTTCGAAAAGGCATCCCGAATCCTCCAACACAACCGAGAGAGGTGAAAAGCTGTTTAATGATCAATCAGCTGCTTTCCGAAGCCGGAGGAAAACGAAACGTGTGGGACAAACTTCTCATAGTTGAGTTTTCATCTTATTCTGAAGATGAAATAAATAGCTTATTAAGCAGGGGCATCGAACACGACGGTTCGCTATATTGCTTTCTGGGGTTTTCTGCGTCTCAATTGAGGGCCAAAACATGCTTTTTGATCAAGGAAACTGACACGCAAGTTAGCGACAGGCGCGGAAAGTCTGGCATCTTAAGCAATGACATCTCATTTGCTGACAGAGCAGCTAAGATTCAGCACATGTTTGAACCATTCGAAAGAAGCTTGGAGTTAAAGAAAAACGAGTTCGAATGCGAGCGCAGCGCTAGCTCCAATGTGCCAAGTGGGTTGATGTCGCCCGAACTTGCTGAAACGATCAAGACAGCATGCAGTCTAGCTAACGCACCCAGCTGTTGCATGCAAATTATAAAGAAAATCTAATGACTAGATTTTCTACAAATAAACAAAACCGATTTTAAAAGTCTTTTTAGTTTTATTCATGTTGCCATGGCAATGGCACCCACATCAGCTTAACCATCAAAAAACTAAAGTTTGTGTTGTTAACTTGCTTGCTGCCACTTTTGGCGACCGAGAGATCAAGGGTTTTAGAGAAAAGGGTTAATGAAACACGAGTATCAAAAACTGTGTTCAGCCACCTTAAGACAGGAGAGTAGCTTCATACTCAATCAGGGGTTTCATTAACCTTCTCAGCAGGAGGGCAACTGGTTTTCATAGGTGGGCAAAACTATTTAAACCAAACTTTTTCATAAGAAAAACTTTCCACTAGATGGTTAAACCAAGCTGGAAAAAAGCATCCTCACAGCCAGTCAATTTGCCGGTTCCTGGCCCGTTATCAAACCCCTGCTTTTATGCAATAACAAGTAGGCTCTTTTAAAGAGACACTCAAAGCATCCATTGCACTGTTGTGTCTTTTTAGCCATCTTGCAGTTTTAAATAAGTGGCCAGGCCCACATTGTCTGGGTGTCACTTCCAGCATTTTGAAATCTACAATGTAGCAGCATCCTGGCAGTGAAACGATTGTGAAAAACTGATCTTTTTTCTTTTAGTTTCAAAAAGTCATGTTTGGTGGGAAGGTGAAAAATTCAACCAATGCACACAAGTAATCAGAGTCATGTTGTCAGATGTTATTGTTCATTTGCCCATATGATTACTTTGTTGTTTAGTTTAACTGAACTACAAGTGGCTGATTTGACAGATAAGATGGGAGATCATGGCCCACTGTACACCACCTAAGAAAATCAATAAAGTTATGCCATTGATAGATCAATATTTAACTTTGAGCTGCTGAAAATGGCATTTCCTTTCTTCTACATTGTACTTTTCAAAATTTTCTGGGGGAGGGGGGACATGCCCCTGAACCTCCTGGGATGAAGGGCCTTGTGGCCTCACCCTTGTCATAGTCGCCCACTCTTCCAGCTGCCAGTGCTGGAAATAATTTTTCTCCTTTAACAGGACATATGTCCTTTCAAATCTTCATTTTGGTCGGACATCTTAACAATTTGACCGGCCATTAATTAGCATAATTAATTAGCATAATAAATTCATTAGTAAGAATAATGATTTTCAATACTGAGCATTCAAAACTGCAATTATATTTTTTAATTATCAGTCATGATTAACTAGATGACTTAAACTACGATGACCACTTCATAATACAGTTTTTCGTTATGATACTGAACTGAAACTCTCCTCTGAATTATATTTTGTTTGATATCGGTCCTTTATAGCAAACTGATATGCTGGGAAAAACAAAGCAATGTTTAAAGTCCCTCAATGAGTTTACTTTCTTTTTATCATCATCTAACGGCACAAAAAGTTTAGATCAATGCAATGTAGTTTCACTGCAAATAATAATTATAATGAAGAAAGAGGTCTCAAAAAAGTTCTCAGAAAAGTTCTCAAAATGATTCGAGTTCATCTTCCTCTTCACTCTGGGAAAAAATGGCATTTTCATCGTGCTCTGCAACTTCCTGCTCAGACTCAGAGTCTGAGAGTGGCTCGTAGATTTTCGGTCGTCTTGATTCCCTCTTCTTGTAGTACTTCCTTTCCTTCTGATTTAATCTTCTTGACTTGCTCGAGTACCATGACAGGACAGCTGAAGTGGCATCATACTCTTCAAGTGGTGGCCCCTCAGTCATGATTGTCAAGATATCTTCTGTGGTTTTCTGTCCTACGGCTGCTCTTTTACCTGTTTTGACTCTCTTTAGGCTACCAAAGAATCTTTTGACAATGGCACTGGATACAGGCAGGCAAAACAGTAGTCTTATCAAAAGCAGTATATTGCTCCAGCGATTTGATCCTATAGAGAGGTGGAAAAGCTTGTACCAAGTTGCGCGGTAACTTCGTGAAGATGGCGCAAGGAATTCAACCATGTATTCTACAAGGTCATGCCATTCGTCTAGCACATCAGGACCACTTGAGCTAAAACCATGTTGTTTCAAGGCATCCTGGAATTGGCCAGACACTTTCAAGACGGTTTGGTCAATTTCTTCGCTAATAGAATATATTCTTGTCCACACTTCGCAATTCAAAACTTTGGCAATTGCCATCATGTTGTCAGTCCCCTTGCACCGTTCTTCAATAGCCTCAGTCATCAAATCAACAAATTTATGTCCATGTTGCTTGAGCTGATCAACTGCACCATCTAAGCCCGGCGATTGCACCCCCTGAAAACAGCCACCGTTGACCTTGGCCAGATAGTACCTGACAGTTTTTAGCTTGTCAACTTCTCTCTCCTTCAGTGTGAGTAGATGTTTCTTGGCTTTTGCCATGGCAAGGGAAACAGTCATAGCATCAACTTTTGTTTCCTGGAATGCAGCTGAAAGACACGCTGCTGTCTCTAAGGGATCAACGAAGAAGCAAGAGAAGATAAACAGTTTTCCTGACTTCCATTTCCTTAAATATCCTTTGAGTTTGGCTTGGTCATCAGCTTTCACGGATGTGTCACTGCTACAAGACTCAAGATGCTGAATGAAAATACCAAATTTATCTATGAGGACTTTAAGTGCGTTAAGTTTGTGGATAATCCATCTTGTCCCACTCGCACGTTTTGGTTTCACTGATCCTTCCACAAACTCCAGTGAATCTTTGTAGATGTTACTCAGCTCTTGAAGACTTCGCAGCCTTTTAGGACTCTTCTCGTACAGATAGTAGAGCTTCAAAAGGCAGTCATCAATCTCTATAAAATAAGTGCCACTAAAAGTATCTTTTAATGCCAACTTCAAGCGATGAGCAATGCACCAGACAAATAGAAACCACAGATATTCCTTCTTCAGAATAGCTTTTACTCCTCCCTTTTCTCCTGTATTAGTACTGTAGCCATCTCCTCCTAGTCTGACATGTCCTGGTGATGTTGTGGCTGTTACGTCTTTCAGACATGGGTCACTAAGAGCGTTCTTAATACCATAAACAACACCTTGAGCAGTGGAACTTGACAGACATTGTAAAGAGAGGTACCTCGTCTTCACTGCAATCTCTGGCTCTTGGTTAATATTATCTGTCGGTTCTCCATCTGGATCAAAATAAAGGACGAAAGTGGCTTCTTGTTTAGTGATAGAGCTATCTGTTGTCCCATCAAACAAGATACTATAGAACTTTGTTTTGGCTATGTCTTTTGACAACTGTTGCTTGAGTTCCTCAGCTTGAAAAGATAAGAACTCTCATGCTGCGGTACGATTGTTGTGTGTGGAGCCTAGCTGAACACCATGCCTTTTCTCTAGTTGAATGATGTTCTCATACTTGATGAGGGGCATTTCTTCTTTCATTACAAAGTATGAAACGTCAACTTCTTCCTGAAGACTGCTTCTTGTTCTTTACTCAGTTTGAACTCTAGAGGTCGCTGGTTTCCTGTAGGCATTGAGGGTGGTGCAGTTTGACCCAATCTTCTCTTATACAAAGCCAGGGCTTCATTATGCGCCTCTGATTTCGCATGGTTAATAACATTGGAAAGCTTGAAATTGACTGACCCATCGATCCATGATCTTGCAAAGTTATGCCTTTTGCTTATTGCTTGTTCAAACTCGATACAGACAGTGCATTTCAGCGTTGAACAAAACTTTCCCTTTTCACATTTATCAACGTCATAAATCAGCCAAGTGTCTGCCTCAAAAATGGCTAAATCATTCTTCTTCCATTTGTCCACTGTGGAACATGTTACCCTTCTTCCCTTTGTAGTTTCAGACTTTTGTATCTTTCTCGGTGCCTCTGGTTCGGTCTCTGATTTTACGCCATCGCAGGTTGAAAGACTGTCTTCTTCGGTTAGGGTCCTTTTCTTGCTTTGGTTTGGGCCAAAAAAGCTTGTTATCTTTCCTTGTGTTGTGGAGACACGGTCTTTAAATTTTTCTTCCTTGATAGTATCTCCTTCCACTTCTAGGAGTGGAATAAAGTGGTTGGGGTGAAACCAAACTCCTTTTGTCGCATCAAGGTTGCCATCCCTGGACCACATTATGAAGACGGTTGGCATTGACTTCACTTGGCTAATAACCCTTGGTTCTATGACACCATGCAACAGAATTCGTACTGAGGATGCCGTATTTGGATAAACAGAAAAAATCTGTCTCCCCATTACTGAGGCTAAAGCCATGAGGTGAAACATCCCTGCCCATTCTTTTTTGACTGTGGCCCCTATAAAAAAGTGTGAACACGTTTCATCTTACTAAACCGTATAGTTAGTTATAATAACGCGATGCATTTTTTTTTCGTGGAGGCCATCGAATGTATTTTTTGGGTCTGACAAAGTCTTAAAGAAAATCTTGTGCCACAACTTGCACTTACCTTGAACTTCTTCTACAATTGCAGTCACATGATTTGCCTTATCCTTGAGGTTGCTTGGACCAAGTTGTGCCAGACACAAAGAGAACAGCATACTTTCAGAGTACCGCATCGTATTAGTATGTACAGCCTCTTCAATCTTTGGATGCTCTGCATAATATTCTCTGTTTGTCACAATTTCTATTGCAGTTAATAGTCAGAGACAGCTACTTAGGGAATCATCACCAACCAACAAACGTGAACAAGAGTTGAACAAACAGTCCCCATTACCAGGCGATTGATACGCTACAAGCTGTGATGTTTTCATTGAAAGAGGAATATCCTCTGGGAGAAGCGCTTCTCCTAACCTATCTCTTTGAAGCGTGATGCCATTGACGACTTCTTTCTCTTGAATCTTAGCCAGGATTCTTGAATACTTTGTTCGAAGAGAAGAAATTAAAATCTCGTGTTCCTCAGTTGCAATACATTTGTTGAGATTCTCCAAATCGGCATCAACATCTTGTGGAACATCCATGTTAACTTGAGAAATAGTAGCTGAACGAAATTCAAAAATACCAAAGCTAAACCCACTTTTATTCACGGGGATAGTTGTCTAGTGGAAGCCAATCGGCGTTTTCTGTTCTCACGCTATATAACGCACAAATATATAAAGGACAAATTTTGTGGTAAATAGATTTATTTGTTTATGAAACCAGTGTGAAGCTGCTTTGAATAAACAGTCGGCAGGGTAAAGATTTCTTGTATTTTGCCTTTCACTGATCACAAAACGACGGGTGACCCCTTTTTTTCCTTGGTTCACATCGGAATGAAAGTTAATTGTGGTACATCACCTGGTTAATTTTGTGGTCTTGCACGTGACTTAATCTGCCCTTATTATTTTGATAAAGTACAAATTTTCCCACACAAAAAAGGAGTTGTGTGGTAGTTTTGTGTAATTCGCCAAAAGGCCGTAGTTTGTGGTCAGAGTGGTTTATTCATTACTATTTTAACCTCTGTTGTTTGTGAGAACAAGATGTAAATTCAAGCAATTTAGATCAACAACAAACAAACACTTGGCGACGTGCAGTCTGGCTGGGTCGGGTGGTCACAACTTTATTTCCTGAAGAAATATTCATTACAAGTGTTGGCGATCTTAAATTCAATTTTGAATTTCGCAAACAGTTTAAAGAGCAATCCTTTCCCTGAAAATATTCTGTCCAGTACAAGTTTATACTTTATTAACAACACTTTTACAGGTCACTACCGTGGGCTATAATTTATTCATGGCTAGTTCAACTTCACGTGCAGATTGTTATCTCCTGGTCATCTGTCATTCGCGCGAACCTTCTTTTATATCAAAGGTTTTCAGAGTTGACCAAAAAGCAAAAACTTTATAAAATTGCTTGGGTTCTTCTTCGTCTTCTCAAATGAAAAAAGTTCCTTAATCTTGAAAGAACATAAAGTAGCAACAATAATAACAATATTTGCAATGTGACTCATTGACAAAACGCGTTTGTTTTGGTTTTCCTGCGCATTCACCTCTCATCTGATTAATGGCAACTAATACTATTAAAATTGTTACGTAGGTATTAAATAAAACTTGTTTTATAAATGATTTGAACAGGCCACTGGTCAACATTAAACTTTAATGTCGTTTCTTGAGCAGCCTTCGCCGTTTTAAAGGGCATTACCGTGCAAGACTTGAGGGTACATATATGAAATGCTAACAGCATATTGCGATTCACGCAGTGCATTATAGGGCGATTTATTTGAACACTTCTGCTTCATGAGATACCTTTCAAATATAGCTCGAACAATCTATGTCGGCAACTTTCACGGATAGACAATACATTTTGGGGAAGAAGTCAAATTGTGTCGGTGAAATGTTCAGACATCATGTCCGATCAAAATGTGAAATTGGCTGGACATATTCAAAATTTGGTTGGACAAAGTCCGATGACTGACTGTTATTTCCAGCTCTGAGGTGCAGACGCCTACTTCAAAACATTTTAAAACCCCTGTTAGCTTTCTGTCAAGTCTTTACTATCCCTCTTTTCCATGGTAGCTGTTAATTTTTTGGTGCATTCCAATGGCTGGATATGGCTCCAAAATAGCGTTGATCTTGATTATTGTGGAAAGATGGCCAAACGAACAATAAAATGCAATAGTGCTAACAGACAGTGTGATGCAATGTTGTCCAGTCAAAAAATGCTTCCACCTTTTATGGGGAACAAGAAAAGTACAGTTCTTGTTGCATAGCAAGCAACCTCCTCTTATGGTGCTAGCTTGGCAGTAAAACCTGTCAAGCAGTGAATTTCCTTGCTCTTTCTTTGCTTTCCAGCACTACACTTTCGTGTTACAGGGCAAAATGGCAGCATTCTGTCTGCGGATAAAATATGGAATTTTGCTGGCATATGAGCCAGCAAGTGCCTGTGTTGAGGCTGCAGTGCAGTGCCACTTTTCTTCTACTTTAGTCAGTGTACACTTTTTCATATTGTGTACATGAAAAACTTGACAAATATGATAATAATAATAATAATAATAATAATAATAATAGTAATAATAATAATAAAAGTAAAAATAATAATAGTAAAACTTGAAATAAGAAAAAGTCAAGATAAAAGTTAAAAAAGTGTGAGAATTTTACAATGGCTAGCCTTACATATGTATGTTTCATGTCTGCCAAGGGACTCATCAGAGGCCTTTCAAAAAGTTGCCTTACATCACCTTTCAGCTAACTCATCAAACATTGTGTTTGCAGTCCTGCCAGCATCAAAATGATGGTTGCAATCTGGCCTTATATATCATATGGGTTCCCAATTGCATAATATGCCATTCAAAAACTTGAAAAAAATTGTGAGAATTTTACAATGGCTGGCCTAAAGTTAAAAAATGACAAGATAAGATAGAAAATGCTAAAAATTATAACATGTCAAAAGGAGAGAGCAAAAAAGGGAGTAATTCTGTGCATAAAGGATCAACGTTGATTAAAAATATTACTGAAAATTAAGAAATTTAAGAGTTCATGTAAGATTGATGCATTAGAAATAAGATGCACTTATCTTAGGGTCATTTATTTTCTGTTTAAATATGTTTGTGAAATTATTTATTCTGTCATTTTTAAATGTGTAGTTGAGTATTTATGTTCTGTTTTGCATCACAAAACTTGAGTTCCTCAGTATCCTAGCCAATAAGGTTGGTGGGGTCAGTGGGGTCAATGGGCTCCACATCTTAAGAACAGTGATTTTATATTTGATCAGATATTGATTTGCTCTGAAGGTTCTTTCCCCTTCCTTCTGTCACACTTTTGGTTGACTGAGAAGAAAGATCTGGAAATCACATGATTTGCACATCGTATTGGATGCACACAGGCAATATGGTGAGAGGTATCTTGGAACTTGTATGAGCACGTAAATAAATTTGCAAGCTGCACATCCATACACGGCTGGAACAAAGAAACCAAGGCCTTAGTAAACCAGTGCTAATGCAACCACACTATGCATTGCCATTGGATAGAGCTGTGGACCAGCTAGGCTCAATTTTAGCATGGTGTTAAAGATTTGTTAAAACTTGTTATTTAGCATCTTGAAACAACAAACCATATTCCAAAAAGAATGAGTACAACACTAAATTGTAACTTTCAGGTGTAGAAAAGAAATATCTTTGTGAGAAAAGGAGTATTTGTTTTTCCTGATTTGTTTATTGCAATTACCCAAATCAAACTATGCAATAGATTGCAAAGGTGATGAAATTGTGAAAGTAAAGCTTAGTTGAGTTTCAAACTGGGCTAACTACATGTAACTTACAGCTGAATACTGTATATATTCCATCAACTTGTTGACTTACAGTGTATATCCAGGCTTTGAAAACCTGAACCTACACCTCTTTTATTACAGTGAAAGTATGTCGAATCGCCTCAAACTTGCTTAAAACTGTTTTGATTCCAACATTGATGACAACTGTGCAGATCCGCTTTCACTGAAAATTACCTGTATGCTGTTTTTGTTTATTTTGGCAGTCTTCTTCTGTATGGCAAGTCATAGCGTTTTCTCAGTCAGCCATTTGGCATATGTTCCAGTAGCTCAGCAGCATGCCTACTATACAGTCATGATCACATGGGATTTGTTTGAGGTTCACCTAAAGCCGTACCATGATGTTTTTAATGAGTGTATAATATAGGGTTTACAAATCCTACTTCCTGCTACCATTTTTTCCTCCATCCCTTTTACTTTGGACTTGTCATCTTGATATTACACTGCATTCCAAAGTATTTTAACTATGACAAGACAATCTTTTCCCCTGATGAGACAAAATTTCCCAAGCTGACATATTCCAACAGACTTTTTCAGTTGCCTTTTCACTGTTTAAGCTAAGTAACAGAAGTAAATTCAAGTGAATTGGTAAATTTGTGGTCATTGAATCACCCGCTTTTTTGTTGATGTGCATTGATGGTCTGTACTTTTCAAGTGTCCTATTATGACCTATTTTTTGTCTGGCTAAGTCTGGTGTTGCTGATCATTAAATGAAGAATCCTGTAGAGGGTTGTTATTGGACAAGAAACAAATCTTGAGTCCACCACATGATATTGGAGATGTCAGTTTCATCATCAGCTAGAAGACCAAAAACAGTTGTTACCTAAACTACCTTGGTATTGTCACAGTTAATTGGTGTGAGGAAAATTTACCTGATGCACCTTATTATCTGTGAGGGAACTGATTCCAATCCCTCATTCCCAATACTCCTAGAGGCCTCAGAAATCAAGATTTGACATTTGCTTTGGGAACCTTTTGTAAACTATCTCCAGTTACTGCAATTTTTTGCTGCACAACATGCTATTTAGATTCATGAAAACAGCATCTATGCCTAATATCTCATCCTGAAGGCATAGTGCCATTAGAGATTATTATTTTTTAATTAGAAATTATAGCACCAATTACAAGAAATTAAAGTCATAACTTGAAATGGTTTAACCAATTATTTCATGTGGGCAATAAATTCTTGTTAAGTTTCTTTATGACATTCTGTTTAGTTTAAAAACATTGCATTAAAAACTTTGTACGAGCATCAAACTAGCGTATTTTATCTTGATCTAGCAAAATGGCTGTGATCAAAGCAATAACAGGAGTGGAAAAATATTGAATAGTATGTGTGGGTTACACAGGCAGGGTTGTAGCTAAGAAAATAGTCTGAAGATTTTCATTAGGCCAGGTTAAAGAAGGTGCGTAGCTTCCTCCCATGGGGGTGGGGGAGGGGGGTGTTCTGGTGGGCCTCTTTCAGGAAATTTTGAAAAATGTAATTGAATTGGTTGCGTTCTTGTGCAATCTGGGCCCTCTGTTATACAAATTAAAATATACAACATTGAAGTAAGAATTGTTAC